TCCCCAGATGGTGGAAGTAACATTTAAACCTCCTTTCCTCTGCCTTGTACAATAGACCTTGGCACCATTTCAACTGTTTACTCCGGTAATTAACAGCACTGATACCACAACAATTACAACTCCTACAATCTTAACACAATAATGCTATGAATTAGTGAGAGCTAATGGCTGGAAGGTATAGTGGTTCCAGACTGCGAGATCTGTGCATTTTTAGAATAAAATAAAAGGTACAAACAGCACGCTTGCGGTAGACAATGATTACCTAGTAATTAGTTTACACAAAGCTTCCTATTTAATGGCAAAACGCTGTAATTAACGCGTGACAGAAAATCAAAGGGTACTTTGTAAGCATATGAAAAATTAACACTGCAGGCCTATAGCTTTATGTACTGATTAGAAGCATATTAAATCAATAGGACATGCAAACCAACAGCTTGCATATCTGATGATTGCGAGGCTTCGGAAGGGATATCGTGGCTTAATTTAACCAAGGGATACAACCACCGCACTTTATTTTCCTTAGAATTTAAGAATCACCTGAAACATGGCTAGGGCAGCTACATAGATATATTAATAAGCTGAATAAGAGCACTGTGGTCTGTTTGCAGACACAGTGCATATTTAAAGTATTTAGGATATATTGTTGACAAAGCACTGCCCATAGTAGGAAACAACCCGCCACTCTATTGCTTTACCAGGAATCAAGTTCTTCCTTAACTCTTTGGGTTCTTTCTCTTTTCCTATTAAACGTCACATCGGTTAAAAGAAATTTTAAAAAGCCTGTCAAAATGCTGTAAATGCATCTTCTGTGATCTGCCAGAGTTTCTGGCCCTCTTCAGGCTGAAAGAATTACCACACCTGCAATTGCACATGTACAGTGAGAGCCGCAGCAGAGACCACTGCCTTGAGAACCCCTCGGGTAAAAAATCTCTCCACTATTCCTGACTGTCAGATAATCACAAAGTTTATCCAATTACTTATTACAGGACTTTTAAAAGTTGACCCAAAAGATTTAAAGGAACAGCTAGAATTTTGCAGCATTTTAACTTGGCGTTTATAAATGTAATTTTCCAATAGAAATCAAGGCAAAATCCAGCAACCGGTGTGTGAGCAGCACTCTCTGCAACTCAGACTGAAAGCTGGATTTTCCGGATTTGTCACCTTTTGAAAAGATTTTGATTTCCTCTTACACATTTTAGTGAATTAACCAAGATACAGTCTAGGAGGAAGAGAAACCGTGACAAAATACAGTGCCAGAACTGGAGGCAGTAAGACTCAAACACTGTAACATTTACAACAGCAGGCTGCCCAAGCGCGTTAAATAGCTTTTTTTCTTCTACAACAGATATTTAATGGAGAGTTTTGAAATGGTTCTGTAGCCACGGCCAAATTATAACGGCTTATTGAGAGAATAGGTGCTGCTTGTTCTTCTGTCTTATTCTGGTTTTGCATTTTCAGCTCTTCTTTATCCCCACACTCACCCCCTTTTTTCGTCTTCAGTCCGATCTTGGTTATCTTTAGGATTGCTGCTCGGGAAACTCACCTCATGTTGCTGGTCCTGGTGGTTAATTAAGAGGCACGGTGTAATAGAAGATTCTAAAATTAATTTGATTAGTAATTTAATCTAGTGATTCAGGTACTATTTCAAGTTCTAGACAAGAGGATGGGATCTCTGCATTTATCTGTGTTATTTTATCTAAAAGGGGGACTGTTAAAAGAAGGATAAAGGCAACACTATCAGGAAGGTGATATTTTCTTTCCTCTAAAAGGGAAGATGTTCTGAGAGTTCGAGGTGGCAGTTTGAGTGCCAAGAGTCAGAGACCAGGAGGTATCGTGGACTTTGACAGCCTGGTGTCAGTTCAAAACCAAAAGGCACCAAATATACTTCATAGACCACTTTTCCACCAATCTTCAGCTTGAATTCTGAGGGAGCATCTTTCTTCAAGGTCATGAAAATGTGGCTGTCGGGTGTGCTTAGGCCCGGATCTTGTCTCTGACAGTGGGCACAAGTGGATGCCCAGGACAGAATGAAGACAGAGCATCCATTCCCTGGGGACTCTCTCAGCCAGAGACTGGGCCAGTGAGAGCAGTTAATAGTTTTCCCTTCCATGAGTTTATACAGTGTCCCAGTGAGGCTCTGTATAGGCACAGGGGAGATTTTCCACAATCTGAACTGCTGGCTTTCAAGAGGAGTGGTATCCCCAGCTTCCCAGCACACTTTGGAATACCATATATTAATAAATATTAGTAATGCTAGATACTCCAAACATGTAATTGTCCTACCGTTTTTTTTTTCACATTTTTTGCTCTGCACAGACTAACTGAAGCTTGAATTGGCACAGAAAATAGATTGGAAAAATCACGATAGAATGGCATGAGAGCATTTCACACAGCACACATGCTTTATATGTTAAATGCTTAAAAATCCTGAATTTATTTGCTCCCTCCAAGCGTCACTGGTGTTGGGAGATAGAATGAAACTCCAAAGGTGTCTCAGTACTTACTGATGGTTTGGCACAGAAGTGGGGCCAGATCCTGATATTCGTTTTCTCACCAGAGAACATCTCCACAAATGCCACCGTTGCCCAACGTGCACTTGGGGAGGCAGCAGCTCTCTTGCTATTGATGATTGTTAGAATCTGGGCCTCAGGATGAAATTCTTTACCTGCTGACAGGCTTCAGCAGCGCACAGTGGGATGAAGGCCTCGCAGAGACGCTCGGCGTAGTTTGTGAGTTCTACCCTCACAATAATAATTGAAATAATTGTTCAGATAACTCAGAGGCTGCATTAAGTGAACAAGGTGAAACACATCGATAATCCTTTCCTGCATTTCTCTTTGCCCAATGCTATGTTTGAAACGAGGAAACTAAAACCAGTCTCATTTTTAGATGGAATAGATTTTTTTTTTTTTACACACTCCTTTCCTGCATTTCTCTTTGCCCAATGCTGTGTTTGAAACGAGGAAACCAAAACCAGTCTCGTTTTTAGATGGAATAGATATTTTTTTTTACACAGTTCAAACTCACAAACGACATTATTTTTAATCTGTTGCCTACCACATACCAATGAGGAAAATCTGGGTATCGTGTCTTAAACTGCTATGCAAATGATGCTATTTGTAAGTATTAACATAATTTAGTGCTTACAGTCATATTCTCATTTCTAATAATTCTACCAGAATGGAGAGTCTTTTCACTGTACTCTTAGCCTGCAGGATAGTCTTTCATCAAGAAGCTGAATTTTTTAATAACCTGCCAGCATACGTTTGGTATGTGGCAGCCTACGCCGATGACACAATGTCTTCATTATCAAAAGAAACAGGTCTACACACTGTAATAGGACATTAAAGCATGCCTGTGCTCATAAACTAATGCTTTGATGTTTAAATGTGTAGCATTACAATGGTATTCCTTAACAAAGGATGATTTTAATCCGCTGCTCTCCACGGTAATACTCAGCAGAGACTGCAATTCATTATCCATAAAAAAGGTCTCCCCTTCTACAAAAGGGAGCTCAACTCAAAAGGTGGAAAAATTTGAACACCCGTATTCAAACAAGATGCCCAAAATGCCAGGAAGTTTCACACTTTGCCAAAACCCACTTTACTACTGGTCTGGATTTATGGAAGCTTTCCTGCTGACTTGAGGAATTTAGCTCAAATAGGTTATTCTCTACGTATTTTTCAACTTCCAACAAATATTTGTGTTTAAGGGCTTGTAATGGGTTGATTCCTGGTTGCATCGAAGCACAACATAAATGCAGTATAAAAGGGAAAGCAAAGAAAGGCAGTTATCCCTGTGTCCTTTATATCACTTAGCCATGAGAGAATTAAAAAGGCACAGAAACAAGAACGCTAACATAAGGAAATACCATTTCTATAGAGAACTTCCACCAGCTTGACTTGCACAGAGCAAGGGATCTTTAGCAGATCAGAGAAATCAGCTCTTCAGCTTTGCATGAAAAGGTCTATTTTATAACGTGGAATTATTTTGTAGTTGTCAAATGCAACGGAACTGTAATCAGCACAATTTGAAATTTTAATATACAATATAATTCAATCAAACAAAAATTTCAAAACAGTTCTGATTGAATTAAAAAAAAAAATCAAAAGAACTATAATGAGTAGTTTATGTAAATGAAACAATTCTTTCTGGATACATTCCTTCTGGCTTTAAAACCATTACATTAGGAACGAATTTGGCACAATATCCAGAAATATCAAATGCTTATTGAAATTAACACATTTAAATACCAATGAATATTTAAACTACAAATAGTTCTCTCAATGCCAGAACTAATGAAGTCTGCTTTGGTATGGATTTAGCTGCGGTTAAAATGTATCATCTTACGGCCTCTCTCAATCATGTGGATTCTTAGGAATCTCCTGGTGCACGAGTCCATTGATAGGCTCCCTCTCCTTACCTCAACACCCACTGTAAATTAAAGATGCAGGATTCTAATGATCTCCAAGACCTCAAGTGTTCTGTCTTACACAGATGAAAATGGCTCACAGGTTATTAGTTAGTTATTAGTGAGGAAAAATGTACAGAAAAAATAACCCTTAGAAAACCAGATTAAAAAGGAACCAGTTTGTATGTGATTTCAAATCAATTAGTACTGTTCAACTATATTAGTCCGACGCTTTTGTTCAGTAATTCCAAGTTTCTATGTAGGTGTAATGCCCATCTACTTCCATTTATACACGTCCTCACTTTGGATAAAAAACCCTGTGTAAAATTTGCACATTATTGCCTATGAATGAAGTGTTATGACACCCAACTTACTCCACAGCTCACTTATATTTTGGAATATTTAACTGTTTTATTTAAATTACTGTTTCCTATTACTTTGTAGAAGACAGTCTGGTCTCTGTAATAGCAACTCTTACCAACGTCTTAAAATGAAAGCTCAGGGAAAAGATTTAAGGTGAAGAAGAAGCCTTGAGGACCATTAAGAAGCCACAACAACGAAGACAACGCCCCGCTCCCCCGTTACTTACCCGTGCCCACTTCTGGCTCCATGTCTCGGGGCTGTATCGCTGACGCTCCTGTTGAACCCAGGGGTAGCATCTCAGATGGGCAATGATATCACAGTAGGCAGTGCCATTTCCTCCACATCCATCGTTCACTTTGAACAGCCAACGCCGCACCTCCATATTGTCCGCGATCAGCTGGCTCAGGACACGAATCATCTGCGGGGCAACAACACAAAGATGTTTTATGCTACAGCAATATTAAATTGTTCCTCAATTCTGACTCCTGGTTTGCATCTATTTGGACTCAAAATGTATTTTCTAAATACAGTTTCTTTTTCTTAGAGATGCTTGTGTTGTTACGGCTACTTTGGGTACGTAGCGAAAACTTTTCGATGAGAATCAACAGTCTTTGTCCTTGTGCAGATCACCAAAGAGCAATGAGCACCTTTGGTGGTGGGTGATGCTGTGGGTTCTGCAGAGAGAAACTGGCCTCTCCGGGCATTTTTTTTTTTAAATCTGATGATGATCTTAGGTTTTGGATACTCAGTACTGCTTAATAAATGCTCGTGACAGGGAACGGCACGGGATGGACTGCACTATTTGCAAAATCCGAGAAACAATTGTGGCAGATTCTAACACCAGCCAAAACATCTGTGAAATTTTCCTACTGGAGAGTACATTATATGGTTATAAATGTATGAAGGAGTTACCAGGCAGGCTTTATAAAAATGCTAATTATTTATTTGTGTATGTACACAGATTTAAATGGCTTTAAAATGCCTTTTGCCCAGCTGGTGTAGGATGCAATTAGCTTCTTACAAACTGCAAATGCCTTTGAACCTGGTAAAAGTATTGTGAGATCTTGTTGCATTGGCAGAGCCTTCTACATTTTTACATGGCAGTTTTTTGGACTTTTCATTATTTTTTTTAACATTGACCTCAAATACAATTACACGTGTTCCAGATGTTATTATTTGTGGCTTTTGAGAACCGCATAAATGTGTTTTTCCTTGATGACTCCCCTACAGTAATGAAAAGAATCAATAGTATTGTAAGGACTGTACCAATCATAAAGAATTATGTTCTATCCTTAAATGAAAATTGAATTGTGCTTTAACATAGCGGCACCTTCCTTTGATTATTTAACCTAAAACGTCAATATTTCACACAAGCAAGCAGCAGAAGTAGAACTTCCGTAACACTGTAGCATGAATCAAAAGTATTATTCACATAAATTATTTAACAATAAATCAGTTGTTTTTTCAGATGATTGATCATATATTTATTTCATCCACTACGGAAGATGCAGTATATTTGTGCAGCTTCGATTGGTTTCAGTGCTAAAGGTGATTAATAAAAAGTAAAGCAACACGAAAAGCCTCTCTAAGAAGCAGGAGTACCTACAATCCAGGGCACTGATTATTTCCCTGTATGAGATGTAGCACCACCATAATAATAAATTTTAAAAAATCAGTACAGTTCATACTTAGACACGTCATTGCAAATTGCAAAATCATCTTATAGAAGGAAATACTAACACAGAATGCAAAATACACATACGGAAACTGATTTGATTATTTAACCTAAAACGTCAATATTTCACACAAGCAAGCAGCAGAAGTAGAACTTCCGTAACACTGTAGCATGAATCAAAAGTATTATTCACATAAATTATTTAACAATAAATCAGTTGTTTTTTCAGATGATTGATCATATATTTATTTCATCCACTACGGAAGATGCAGTATATTTGTGCAGCTTCGATTGGTTTCAGTGCTAAAGGTGATTAATAAAAAGTAAAGCAACACGAAAAGCCTCTCTAAGAAGCAGGAGTACCTACAATCCAGGGCACTGATTATTTCCCTGTATGAGATGTAGCACCACCATAATAATAAATTTTAAAAAATCAGTACAGTTCATACTTAGACACGCCATTGCAAATTGCCAAATCATCTTATAGAAGGAAATACTAACACAGAATGCAAAATAAACACACGGAAACTGAACACAGTACAGAAAACTCTTCTGCCATGTAATTTTAGTTTAGTAATATTTTGTTCTTTTCTTACCGGTCATACTAACAAAATAGGTGAAATTAGCAATGATAAGCCAGGTTCAAGTTAAATCTGCTTGGTCAACCTCTGTTTGAACTGAAATTAGCAATGATAAGCCAGGTTCAAGTCAAAGGTCCAGTTGCAAATCTGCTTGGTCAACCTCTGTTTGAATAGGGTGACTTCCGAAGCGGAAGAAATTTTTCCTTCATCAAATACTTAGTTTCCCCACAAATCCCTGTTTTATTTGCAGTCACTGGTAAAACTCCTATTGATCTCACTGGGGCCATGACTTCAGCCGTGGAGGAGCAATGCAAACTGTTTGAAATAACAGGACCAAACACCCTCATATATTCTCCAGAAGAAACACGAAGAAGAGCAGAACAATTGTCTTCCTCCCTGACTAGGATACAAATTGCATTTAATTGGTCAGATAGAGCCCAAAAGAACACAACCTCGTACGTGATTTATTCCAACCCAGTCCAGGTCTAATCAATATGGTTATTGTGATTGTACCAAGTTTGCATTCTGTGAAGTGCAGAGGCACCTGCAGATGGACACGTCCCAGACCACCTCCTCCTCCTCCTTACCTGGTCATCGCTGGAGATGTCCCCTGCTCCAGGAGGGGTTGGCACACAAGCACTGGCAAAAATTCGTTTACTTCCTGACTTGTTACTGTAGAGCTGAGCCACTTCTGGCACCGAGCCTAATATAGGCACATTTAGCATGTCAGCCACTGCTAAATCATCTTTGTGGGGAACCCCTCCAATAATGTAGGCATCTCTGTTCTGGATAAGACTTTTTATTCTTTTGATTGTCTTGGGACTGCACTTGAGCTGTGTGGCTAAGCACATGTGATGCTTCTGTAGAAAGATAACATTATTCTTGTTAAAAGGTGTTCTTTTCTATTCCATGAACCTAATTTATAATGTTGCACACAATAAATACATTATTAATAGCAGGCTGGGTTATGACCTATCCTGTAGCTTAGCAGTTTAAATTGATAAAAGCTGTTGGGGTGAGGCTCCATAATCGTGCACATCTTTAGTGTGTTGGAAATGGGCTCACTGGGAATAGAACTAATTACTTCACATCTGTATTTATTTGATCCATGCGGAATTATCCTTCTGTCAGTCGGCAGAGAGGCTGGTGGCCTTTGGATAATAGTGATTCATCTCAGCAACACTTCTGGCGTGGTTTAACTCTAAAGCTCCTAAAAATCAATACAAAAATGAAGAAAAACCCCTATAGCAGGGAATGTATTGCACCATACAGTTCAGCAGTATTTTAAGCGATTCTCCGAGAATAAACCACTTTGATTTACAAAAGCTTTCACTGATCACATTAAATTACTGGGGATATACATTTCCATTACACAGTAGTTCTGATAGCTACTGCAAACACAACTGCAGAGTACTCAAGGAGAGGGTAGTATTTTTGTTGCTTAAAGTACAAAGGTTTCAACTTTTTGGAAGGAATTTTTAATTTCTTCTGAAAAAGAAGATCTATTGCTGAACAAACCACATGCTATAACCTCTAAACTAAGCGTACTAGTCACAGCAGCTGAAACCTCAGAAATATTTCCTACAGCATCTCCTAAGCAGGGCCTGCAGATAACCCAATTATCTTTCCAGAGGTACAGACAGAGGTGTACTGAGGTTGAGGCAGATTGGGATGGACATCATGCAGAAATGCTACAAGAGAATCCACCACAATAAATTACCGCAAACAAATCATAATCATAACAAGAAAAAAACCTTCACATTGCAATTTCCTCTAATTTAGGTCCTATCTGCAAAGCTTTCCTTTTCAGGGTAGCATAAATACTGGATTTTCTAGGGATTTCCAGGACTGGAGAACCCAGAATATTTTCCTTCAAAGTCCTGGATGCTCCTTCACAGGGACTGAGGTATAAATCCTGATTCCAATACTCATATGGGGATGATGGTGGATAAGGAGACGAGGGAACCCCCCTGAAGTGGACAGAAGGAATGTCTTTTTGCAATTCTTCAGTGCTTTCTCATATCAAATGCACAGCTCCTTAAAGTGCCTGAGCCTCTCTGTAAAGAGTCAGACATCCTGCAAGGACAGTGAGGATACAAGTCAGAGAAATGGCATATTCTTTAAAGTTTGTAGAAAAAAAGGGAGTTACAGAAGTATAAAGGCCAAGGGAACAACAAACAAGTTTTTCCTTCCATCAGTTTAAAACAGATGTTTTGATTCATTTGTTTCCTTTCTCTTGAGCACTGGTATAAAAGCAGGGAGCTGGCCTGTTCTGTTGGTCTCCTGGCAGAGTTCTGCCATGTAGAGAAGAGGATCAATTTCCAGCCCCGGTCACTCGCTCCCTGGGGCCATGAGTGGTGATGTAGGGACGAGATTTGCTTTGTGTCTCTCAATAATGGATTTTACAGTTAATTAAGGAGTGCAGGAAACAGGCTGTAAAATCTAGTTCATTCCTGCTTTGAGAGTGGTATCGCGGCCATGATATATAGTAGTGAGAGTGAAAGGAGGTAAAAGCAGAACTGAGGAATCCTCAGAATTCCAGCAGGACTGCAGAGAACGGTGGTTAGGAGGTTAGCCAAAAGGCTAGTTCTTGGTTCTCAAGCCTGTTGATTTTTCTTTCTTTAAAACTTTTCAAGAAAAGAGAGGCATCAGCCTCAGGATAATGAGCAAAGCCAGCACTGTGCTGTTTTGATGTGCTGGTGGCAGTGAGTCGGGGTAATACCGAGTCACAAGAGGTCATTCTAACAGGTAACAAATGCTTAAAGACAAGGATCCTTTTCTCACAGTCTCCCCTGTAGATACCAAGAAGCACAGGGCCACATCTGGGTGTCTTTTCCACAGATTTTCTTTCCATCCAGTTCCATCAAAATATGGAACTGGATGGAAACATGCAACTGGGCAAGGCTGATTCGTGCGTCTAGAATTGCTCAAAGGAGCTAAGGTGGCCTTCATGCCAGTTTCATTTATTATGAATAAATTTAGAAACATTAGATACAAAAAAAGCTTGTTATGAAATAACCTAGAAGAGAGATGCTTAAAAAGAACCTATGAAGCTCTAACCCTTACAGAGACAAAACGACAGCTAAACTCCCCATCACTGAAGCCAGTGTATGACTGGGATCGGTTATGAGTATAGATTCCTCTCCACACAAAAGATAGATTCTTTGGACACGTTAATTAACAGATGGGAAAGAACATATGCTTAATGAGAATAAGGCAGTTTGGGGATTTTGCACATAAAGGTGCATTACACTGAACAGCCAAGGGTTGACCTCAATCTGGGGTCAGGTAAAACCTGTGATTCCCTGTTCTTTCTGCTGGCACTTGGCACTAACACACTTCTTGGCCTTCCCCAACTGGGTGAGCAGGGCAAGCCAGAGCCATGAAAGAACTTGGAACTAAGGTCACCCCCCTATGTCAGAGCATGTCACTTCTCCCAGCAAATCACAGCTGCATAATAAATTTTCACAAAGGTGTTTGCTCTTCACCTGGAAAAGAAACTTCGCTTGAGATGTTTCAACAGAAATGGGAAGAGCAAAGGTTGTGCCCAAGAGATGTGCGCCCGAAAACAACCTGCTTTACAGTATCTGGTAGTTAGTAATGGAAAAATAACCCAGTATCCAGAGGAAAAAAATAAAAAGCTACAATTGTCAAAGTGCAATTTAAAAAGAAAACTGGTATTTATCGAGGATTTACTATGCCAATAATTTTGCTTTACAAGGTGAAGGCCCAGCACAGGCAGCTGTGATTCTTGTAGGTTTCTAGTACTCAGATAAAAAGACAATGCTAAAGGAAAGCCAGCTCCTAGAAACACAAACATCACCTTGATGCTCTTCTCCAACCTCAGAGAAAACACAATATATTCATATCTACAGAATTCATTTTAACTACAGCAAAACCATCAGACAGCTCTGACTCAGGCGTCCCTTTTCTCACATTTGTGTTTTCAGACTATATCAACAGAAAAGGATTCATAAATATACGCAAGTGTTTTGCTGAACAGTACGCTACTATAGAACTACGTTTGAAAACCAACACACATAGGAAATATAAAAAGCTTCTTTACCTTCTTAAGCCATCAGTTTCAATCAATATATGGTATAACAAACACTTGTTCAACAAAATAACTAAAAGAGGGTTATTAATATATATCAAAAACAGGAGCAAGCACAGACCCTAGAGATATAAATGTACCTGAAGATTCATAAAAATCAAATCTCAGCTAAGACACTGTGGACTTAGTATTTACAATATAAAATTATTCTCCACTGTAGAGTCTTCACTGCTCTGCAGCATTTTCAGAAATGCTGTAGGTCGTGAACATTCATTAAGGTCTCTTTTTAGACCATGTTTTAGCACATGGATCTGAAACTGGAAGTAATATGTCTGCATTACCTGGCCCCAGTTCTGTTCTTAATGAAGTTCTGTATTGGATTTAATCGCAAGAAACACTACAAACACGTGACTGATCGAATGCTGGGCTACCCAGAGATAAAGTTTGAGTAATAAGAATGGTTTATTGCTATGATTTGCTTAGAGATATAAATCTATCAAGTTCCCAGTGGCAAGCATATAGCAAGAAGGGACAGTGGTCTACAAATAGCCAATATAGGACTATCTCAACTAAGCCTATAAAGCTAAACCGGGATATTTATTTCCAATGCTCTAACTAGTAGTCTAATCAGTAAAGCCCTTAAACTTGCAATAATATTTCACTGATGTGTACCAGAGCGTTACAAGTTATAAAATTTCCAATTTAATTTTACTGCATCCCTCAAGCTGTAGTAATTAGAAGACAAACTCACAGGGAAGCTGTTTATAGCTTCAGGGGTGAGAATTTTGAACCTGTCCTGCAGGTCACCCATGTCCTCGGGGTTCCCAGATCTAACAGCTGCCTGCAGACCCAGGAGTTTATTGTAATACTGCAGTAACTCCTCACTCAGATGAAGGGGGCAGATGTAGATGACGTCCACGTTGGCATCTAAAACAAAGGGGCACAATGTTCATTACTGGGAGAAAGGTAGACTCCATTCAGAACAGCAATCTGATAATTCCTGACCGTTTGCTAACAAACAGCTTCCCAAAAAAAAAGCACTGGAAATAAAAGCCAGATCTGCAATTCCCAAATCTTAGTGGTTTAACTGCTTTTTTCTGTGCTTCAGCATTTCTCTGAAGACAGGTCAGTAACCCAAAGAAATAACTAGTTTTCAGAATTCAATCTGCAGAACATATTGGGGGCAGAATTTGGAAAGTGTTGCAGGGGGATTTATATGCACGACTCACATTAACATCAATGGGAATTGCGCACCGCTTTAAAAATATATCCCATTAACTTCAGTAAATTATAAAACCCAGCTATTAAGTTTAGAAAGCTGATGAAATTGCAGTTTCATATGCTGCCTGGATTTTGCAGGGCCTGTTCCTATTCTTGTCCTGTCCACATAAAAGCTCAGGGTAGGATACCGTTAAGAACTATTGCTGAGCACGTGAGCGTGCGGATTCGCCTGTTAAATACCACAGTGTGAAAATCTGGTTTTCTGCATGTAAAACAACTTGGGCTGAAAGACAGTGTGTACACAAACACTTAGAGGTGAGAAACTCTTTAATATATGCCGGTGTGGAAAATTTTAACAACTCCACTCTTCTGAAATATTAATCTTAATAGATGAGCTAATGAATGAACGGGGCCTCGCAACATCAATAGAATACGCTGCCAAAAAGCACTCCTGGATTTTGATCCAGCTCCTGCTGAAACCAGTAGGAAGTTTTTGCATTGTCTTCACTGGGCAGAGGAACAAAAGCCTGAGAAGTTTCTTACATATGAATGAATCAGAAGGAAAAGGAGTATTGGACTATGGAAACCCGGAGCCTAACGCTATAAAGGAATAAGATTATCCCACTCATCCACTTTGTTTTCCTGTACTACGACCAGCAAACAACCCACATTACAAAGGGAAGGCCAGAATCTCAACTGGAGCATTTTAGTAATATAGCATCTGACAGCCAGCTCCATTTCTGGAGACCCAACAGAGCCTTTATATAATACAGCTCATTACCATATAGGTTTTTAAAATAATTAAAGACTCGCCAGTGTCAGCTGTAATGCTGGATGGACCACCGTGTCAAAAATCAACAAGCTCGAGTGAATTTGTTGAATAAAAGGCTGCAACACATTTAACTACTCCTAGCACTGGCCTAGAAAGAGATACACAAGTCTGCTTTGGACACAGTGAGGGTCCAGAGAGAGATGAGCTAATAGCAGGTCACAACAGGCAAGGAAATCCTCTGGTATTCTAAAGAACAAGAAAACCAATACAGTAAATATCAAAGCCCTCTGCCAAGCACAGGTAAAGCTTCTGATCTAACAAACTACTTAATATTTAACTAGTTTGTATCTCACTCATGGTCTACTTTACATTTAATGATAGAACCAATTTTCATGTTCACAGATTTTTAAATGATAAGGAATGCCTGTATAACATGTTGACTTTGTCCTCTTAGGTTTCTAACTATCATTTTAGAGACCAAAAAAAAAAAAAAAAATCTATGCTAAAAAGTGAAAAAAATACAACTGTACTGTGGAAAAACAACATTAGTGCTGAGATAATATATAAAGGCAATTACATTATTATTTTAGGCAACTGTAAATTTCTGGATCCAATATATTTTTGTTACAAACTTACTAAATGGCATTTATAAAATAATAATGATACTGAAATATAAATGAATCATGTAAAGTGTGTCATTCCAGGGAGCCAATGAAGCTGGTCACTGACAAATAATATTATTCAGTGCTTTGCTTAAAAGAGGACTGTCATTCTAGGAAAAACTTTTTAATGTACGTCTTTTGCCTTGTTTGCTGATTAAAAAAAAAAAAAAAAAAAGAAAGAGGTTTAAATAAGGGCTTGCTCTTTTCTAGCACATCTTTCTCTCCGTATGAGCCTGAATGAGCACTAGCAGAATTAGCTACCTAATTTTGTAGAACACTAAACACTTTTGATCATTTGTGGTGCTCAGCATGCCACGGGATGGGGCTGCTTTACCTTATCACGGAGTCAGAAAGCACCAGCATGTTCTTCTTATGAATAATACAGACAGGAGCAAATGCCACAGCAGATAAATGACTTCTGAGTTTATATTTACTCTCTATTTAATACAAAAGTCCTCATCAGTCGTTCTCTATTGCTCACAACTATGGGCAAGTAACAATAAGAAGCTAGGCAGGCACCAGCTCGTGACGTACCCAGGGTGTCACACAGCCTTCCCATCTGCGTGTTCTGCTGGAGAGCGAGATCAGGAATATGCTCACGGATGCACTGGGAAAATCCTGGAAAACAAGTAAAGCCCCTCAAAACCATATTCAGAACGGCCCTGGTATATAGTTGAAAGAAATCAGATTTTTGAATTAAAAAAAAAAAACCTGCAATAAAAGTATTTCAAATCCCGAAGACGGTATAGCACTAATTGCATCATCTTTATGAATTTACTTTTATTAGTGAACTAATCATGTTTTTATGTCATGAGATTTTTAAATTTGGACCTAAATGTCACAGACCTACAGAACTTTATAATTTAAATATGTAGACAGAGTATCTTGTTTGAGTCCTCTACGTTGCTGGATGTTTGGTTTTTTTAAACGCTGAAAAAAATGACACCATCATTAAGCAAAAATCCTGGTACGTTTTGTCCTTCACACAGATAAAAGGCAACAAAATCACTTCATTAAGGAGATGAGATGTCTCAGTGATGACTGAACACTTTGTTGTAGAGGAGGAATGAGCTTCAGCCTCTCTGAGCCAGGATTATCTGTTTGGAGGTCAGGCTTCCTACCGATCCCATACTCCCATTCAAAAAGACTGCAGTAAATGACAGGACCACTGTAACTATACTCTCTAATCCTGTCATTTTTAAATTCAGTTAATTCTAAATCAATCAGCGTGTACATACGAGCGCGCACAATGTGAGCTGCCAGTTGCAATAGCTGTGATTAAATCAATAAGGAAGTTTTCAGCCTAATATTCAATGTTTGGCATCAAATCCTGACGGATCCAGTACCAAGATCCTTCCAACGTTTCCATATATCTGCACATGATAACCACCTGAAACTTCAGAAAAAACTTATTTTGACTAAAATCTGCTCAATATTTCAGTGCTTTCATTTTGGAAGATAATAAGAATTGACCTTTCAATCAAATTACAAGGACAATTACTGTAAGTAATCAGCATTCTAAAGTGCTGTGGTGATGACACTGCACACAGGAGAGCAGAATGTAATAAAACACAAAGAAATGGAAATCACTGGTTTCATTTTTAGTAATTTCTTGTACAACTTACATATTCTAGTCAGCACCATGGCACCAGGCACCTGCAGAACAACATCAATGTAAAAGATACTGATTTTTTTGCCACTTTAATATTAAGCTAAGGTAATTTGAAAAAGCTTGCTCTGGTGACTTAAACTTTAGTCTCGAGTCTTTGTTTTGTTCTCTCAGGTGGGGACCAGTTTTAAGGCACTAACAGTGCTGCCTAATATAAGAACATTTAGATTTCAAACATAGAAAGTAGCTGATTTTCCTGCACTAAACTGTCCTCTTGAAAACCCATTTGTTTTTCAGAACTAAATCTGGGCTGAAAAATAACAGGCAAATATCACCTGCAAAATAAGTAATTATTGGAAAGGAATAATAGTTAAAGTAGCCATCAAACAAAAGTTAAAACTAGCATGTTTTTCAGAACTAAATCTGGGCTGAAAAATGACAGGCAAATATCACCTGCAAAAGAAGTAATTATTGGAAAGGAATAATAAAGTAGCCATCAAACCAAAGTTAAAACTTGCACGTTGCTATGGTTCTGCAGATACACTATAGCTTTATACCGACTACCCCATGCACTTTCCTTCGCTATGTTAATAAAACATATTCATTCACAATATATCAACTTCCATTGACATGACCCCATTAGATTTAACGAGAAGAATATTTGCTCCTTGTGAATCATTCGCAACGCTCCGTACTTCCATGGCCAGTCACCTGACAATGCTCATTAAAGGCAGAGGCTTAATATTTTAAACAAAAATCAACCCAAACGAATTCCTGTGATCACAGTCTGCATGTTCCAGTACAGCTATAACCTGTGACACCACTTCTGTTCTGTTATGCAGTTTATGTATCACTAACATTTTGTGCTACACCATTTAATCCCAAATGCGTGAAAACGTTTCAGATAAATCCACATTTTCCAGAAGCAAAAGCTTCTGTTTTGATTCTAAGAACCCCTACACGAGGCATCAGCCCATCACGGCACCCACTGGTGGAACTGGGCTGCAGGAGGGTCAACCTTGCAAAGCCAGAACTAAGAATTTTGATTTCTCAGTCGGGTGGCACTGAAAGGACACTGAGGGACTCCCTCCTTCCCGTGTGTTTTAGGGCAGTCTGTGTGCGATGAGTTCAGAGGAACACTCCCAGCTCACACAGAGGGAGAGTTATACAAGTACTAAACTAAGGAGTGCATGAATTAATGGCAAAGGGCCTGCTTTCACCTCCCTTTTCAACCGCAGCCATGACCTAATGCCCTTCAACTGCCATTTTCTTAATAAATTTTACGCATCTCCAAGTGTCTTCTCTCAACAAGGAACCCACAACACTTCTCAGACTGGCCTTTGACAAAAAGCAGAGGCAGCTCAGAGCGGGAGGTAAATGACAGTCAAAGTCAGAAGGATCAATCATTTAAAAATAGTTGAATGAAAAGAGAAACAGCATTTGAATCCCAAATACTGTAGAAGTGTATTCACCCATTGGAGTGTGGGAGTAAAGCCGATTAGACTGTTCAAATTTATTTTTCCTTACATGAGCTGACAAAAATGCTAAACAATCTTTAAACAATGGAATCTACTTTTTTGTTTTTTAGCTATCCTAAATCCAACGGTTTTGTTTTGGTGAAATAAACGGAAACATTTGTTCCTCACAGCAGTATAATTTAAGA